AACACATTGTCCCAGGCACCTTTATTTAAACTATAGTCAAAACAAATTGTTTTGAAGTTGTATTCCCCATGCAATTTTTAGATTTTCATCTCGAAAAATAGATCACTTTTGAATGAGACGTCGACAAAAAAACATCACCCCATGGTTATTTATTGTATTATTAATTTACAATTTTGAATAATTGGCTGCTAGACAATACTTCGCGAGGTCGGCTGGTTCCCATCCAACAATCAGTATCAATAATGTACATACAAGTACCAGGAGCCATTCTACTCACAAAGTAGGTTTGTTTTCGCCCAGAACAAAAAAATACAGACGTCCAAAAAAATTGTTTAAATACAACATACAAGTTGAAAATTATGAATAGAAAAAAAATCTAATTTGTTCAAGAGCTCCGGAATGCAATTTTAAACCTAAAATGTTGAAAGACATTTTTGTGAGTGCAATCTACACATGCATGCTCAGTATGTAGGGAAGGAAAGACCTTCATGAAAGCGTGAGTATACATGTACACGTACATGCACTAGAGCGTGGCAAAACGGACTGCCCACAAATGGCATTTTCGACTACAGTGTCTGCCTAAAGATTTTCAATACCTTGACGTACAAAAAAACCACTTCGTGGCAAGAAAAACTGCTCATGAAAATCCAATGTCTATGCACAACCACACACATCTTTTTTTCGTTATCCCCTTCCCTCGATAATCCTTATCTCCAGGATCAGTTCATTCTGCCTCGCTTAGAATAATGTTTCCTTGACGGCGTGAGGGAACGCATATTAACGCTGCCCAACGCATAACATCTCGACAGACACATCGCAGCGCCCCTGCGCATCAATTCTAAGTGGCAGCCAGCGCTCTAAAACTGAGCAGGGTTTGGAAAAAGCGCAAAGCAGGGGGGTTTATTGATTGGCCGGCCTGGGTCAATATCCATCAGTGATCCAGACCGGTTTGACGTGGTGTTGCCAGGGTGTTCTTGCCTACTCTCCGAGCAAGGACTCTCATCTTTTTTCCCCTCCAATATGAAAATCCAATACAAGGTCAATTTCATGGGAATCCATGGGCAAATAAACACGTATACCGAGGTGAGATCTAAGTACACAAACGTGTCTTATGTATGTGTACATCAGGTACATGAAGGCCATTTTTGAAACGGCAGCGTCAATTTGCTTATTTGTTGTAAACTAGGCCTTTTAGCCTGGAACCAAATAGAAAGATATCACACATTGGACTTGTATAATTGGATCGGCATAATCCTGCAGCAGAAAACGGACCCATTCATGTATTGAGCCAAACTCTAGTCCAAAATCAGGATCATGGAGCCTTCTCCAACTCACTTGGCTTCTATCAACAGTAACTCAGTTTGGGCGTGGCTTCAACCACTTCCATAGCCATGTGTGTAAATGTAAGCCACAGCCAATAATACAGATGCAGCCTCATATGGCTACAGCGTTGGACTCCTGTGTATTGGTACGTGGGTTAGGACTTAGACAGGGGAACATGGTGCTTGTGTTCTTAGGCAAGACACTTTACTACAGTTGCATATCTCTACCCGAGAGTATAAATGACTAACTGGTCTTGTCTCGTGACCTGATGAATAGGGGGAATAAATCTGTGATGTGCTTTGAGACTCTCAGGTATGCAACTGGGAAGTAACAAAAACGAAGAAATTCCAAGCTTTACTTGTAAGACTTTATACAGTGTTTTTCAATTTTAATTAATTGCATAATTGTGAAATGAAAAAACAAGGAAATCAACTGATCTGAGGAAAAGTTCCATGCCTGGACTTGGGTATAAAGCGCTATGTATGTATTTAGGCATCATCTTATATCGGGAAGCCTGATCCTGTAGTCAACATTTGAGATAGATACGCTATCGGCTATAGGGCAGCATGCAGCCACAGCTCTGTACCTGTACCAGACAAACTACTTCTAGACAAACTGCAAGAGAAAAATACAGAGAATCCCCCCAAAAAGAAAAGATATGTATGGATTAATGATTCCTGTCTACTGACTCCCTCTCCAAACTGACCCCCACCCCTCCCCCTTCCACATACACACCATTGCGCTCTGAAACTTCCCTTCAACACCTCTCAATGTGTGCGTACGTACCCGGTACTGTACGTGTATCGTATACATGTACCTCACCACGGTATCAGCGCAAATAGGTCTAAACATGTTGTCGCAAGTATGCAAGCATCACACCTCTGTTTGGATTCCCTCCCAACAGATCCATTTCTTCGGGGCTAGGCTAACAAAACTCTCCTGCCAGAGTTCTTTATTTTCCCAAGATTGCCAACTCCCGCTGGGTATCTACATAAGGCTGCGATGGATTAGGGAAGGAAACGAGGACAGCGGCACCACGGGCACGTGTCCCTGAAGATGGAAGGCTTTCCCTTGTCACCGGCGTTTTGATAACATCGGGCCCCAGACCGCTGGAATCCCGAGCTAGTCGCTCCTCATGCTTACATAAGGTGTTACCTAAATTCCCCTCGAACCATATCCTCAAGAAAACAACTCGTACAGGCCTGGCCCCATGTTCACCGTCTCGCAGTGCCCTGAATTCAGTCGGCTGTCCTGGCCGCAGGGGCCTCACTATAATTAGTCACAAGACTGTCCTCCTCTGAACTCTCCGTACATTCATTACTTGTAGCCTGTAGGCTTAAGACATGTTATAAACATAATCTAGCATCCGACCCTTGTTTAGTAGTACTAATGGAACTGGTGCACATAATGAAAATTCAAAACGATAATAAACAAATACATGAAAGTATACACTGGTATTTTATCAAATAACCTTGAAATTAGTATTTCTTTGGGAATAGAACTTTAATCAATTTAGCCTACATTTAAACAGAAAGAGCATCTTTAAATTTAATTATTATTTAATCAAATTATCTTCTTGTTCTTCAAGACATTTATAAGGCATGCAACTGGGAATTTCCAAAAAAAAAATTTAAAAAGAGGAAACTCCAAACCACAAAGGACTTCAATGCACAGTATTTTTCAATTTGTAAATGGCATTCGTGAAAAGTAAGAAAAAACGCGGAAATCAGCGAACCGAGGAAAAGTTACGACATGCCTGATTTATTACATGTACATGTACACTTACAATGTACAATGTACATACATGTACAAAACATGTACACTCCGGCTTAAATGTAAATCCCTATAAACCTTCATGTACACATGTACTTTGTCATGGCCAAGCTAAGATTTGAGCATAAATTTTCCGATGTTGCTCTTAACACTTGAGTTACTGTGTAATTCAAGGTGTCTCGTCAGTGCACGGCAGAATCAATCAAGCTGAAAAGCACATCTCACTCCAGGTGTGGGGACATTCAGATGAGGGGACTGGGAACTTGAAAACGAATTAGAATCATGACTACGTACATTCACATGTGCATAAATCTTTTCTTCTTTCAACTGATGGGAAAGAGGAAATTGTTATTTTGTTCCTCTTTTTGTGAATGCATAATCAGCTATCACGGAATACTTATAAATGAAACCAAAAACACATGGGCTATGAAACACAAAAGATACATATGTACCAAAAAAATTGGCTTTTGAAGCCAATTTATTGAGAGATTATGCACATTATCTCTCAGTATTTTTGATTCATCAATAAGACACAGATTACATGTAAACCTCAAGTTACCGCAAAACCTTGAAGTAAACCTCAAGTTACGACAAAGCCTTGAGGTAAACCTAAACTTACCACGAAGCCTTGAGGTAAACCTCAAGTTACCGCAAAGCCTTGAGGTAAATCTTAAGTTACCGCAAAGCCTTGAGGTAAACCTCAAGTTACCGCCCGTTTAATTTTGTGTTCTCTCCTCAAAATCCAAGAATAATATTCAATAGCCATGCAGCCCAGATTTCACACATGTACATGTGGACTGTGGCATTAAATTTGTTTTTGTACACTGTAAGCCCAATTCAAATCACACATTTTCATCTGTGATCAGAAGTGCAACAACCTTGTCTACGTAAGGGACAAAAATAGGTCCAAAAAACAACAGAGCAGGCAATCACTGTCTTTTTTCTTTTCTGAAACTGCCTCAAGACAGAAGAAACAGCACCCGTTTCCTTTCGTTCCCTCTTTAGACAAAAGCCAATGCAGTCCAAACCAATGAATCTAATGTGTATCAATGATTTTTGTTCTGGGCCAAACAATCTTTTCTGGTTGGCTGCCGGAGGACAGTAAGCTCCAGTGGTTTTGTTTCCTATGTCTTGGGCGACAGGATTTGTTGATCAATGATTTTGTCTTATTCATATATTCCTTGGATGAATCACTGGCGCCCATTCTGTTTGTGAATCGGTTCCCACCAGAATTGTATTTCGTGTGTAAGATGTAAGAAGAGATATCCCTACCATGCTTGTTTTGAAGAAAAAAAATTGCACTTCTTACATTGTACGTGTACCTTCAAATTTACATGTACACGCAGTTCCTCGTTCATATGCAACACATGAGAACATCACGGTGTCCACCAACTCTCAATTATTTAGTGGTTTAAGTTGTTTTTGCTCTTATAAACAATGCAACATTGTATTGTTTAAGGCAGAAAAAAATTTCTTACAGCTGACTTTAGCGTAGTTTGTTTGGGATAGTAACTCATTGCAGAATGTTATATCTAGAAATTTCCTTAACATCACACTCACCAATGAGTTGGGGGAATTTCAGATTTTTTAATATTAAATCTTCGAAAATGTTTATGTAAATTTTTGTTTACTTGTTAAAATGTTTGGCGATTTGTTAGCAGTTGGAGATTTGCCTTCAAGGTTCTCTAGCACGCATGTCAGGCAGCAGTCTGATATTTGAAATATCATTTCAAATGCCACCAGTTTCTACAAGACACCGTTCACTTGAGTTGGTCTAATATAATTGTACAAGTACATGATGTACCTACATCATGCACACAATTAAACGCAACACCTACTCTGTCAAAGGCTACATTAAACACATAATATAACAAACAGTTGAGCTTGGGCCACGCCCAACTTACCGTGCAGTGGTCATGGTCCACGTTACCGTCGCTATCGCCCATGGTGCTTGCTTCTTGCTTTCAAATCCTGTACAAGGATAAGAAAAGAAACATGACTTTTTTCATGAATTTCTTAGCACTACCAAACTGAAATAAAAATTCTGTTACAAATTACAAAACATTCCAGTCAGTGATGGCTATTTTGGTAACTTTTAAAATTGAAAACCACTTTGTCAAATTGAAGGCTTTTAATTTCTTTCAGAAAAGACTTATTTGTATTTCTTTTTCACAAGCCCAGAGAACTCACAAATTCCATATGTACAAAACTCTTCCATCTACTTTCTGAATAACAACCATGTTCTGAAAATAACAAATTTGTTATATTCAGAATATAGAAAAATATTCGGAAAATAGATAGTTCTAGGTTCCGCATAGAACAAATGTGTTCTGAATAAAGCATTTTTGTATTAACCAATTGACATCATGGCTGAAAAAAAAAATTAAGAATTGACGGGGCTAAAATTTATTGGGATTAGGGGGAAAAAATGAATCAGCCATTCAAGTAAATAATCAAGACAGTCAAGCAAAAGTAAACAATTAATCATCCCAAAAAAAAGTTGTGTATTAATTGGGCCTATTGAACGTTATGCACTGGTGGTAGTGGCGTAGTCTATGCAGCGCCGTTGTCAGCCCTGAGAATTGGGGGGGGGGGGCATTGTACCAACTAGGGGGGGGGGGGGGGGCCATAGTACCAACTGGGGGGCCCACTACTATAAAAAAAATACAAAAAATACAGGTATGGCTTTTGCTGTTGGGGGGCCAATTGCTCGCCAAGGGGGGCCTGGCCCCACCAGGTCTGCCCCCCCCCCCTCCTCGGCGACGGGCCTGAGCCTTTGATCAATCAGAGTTACTTAAAACCAGGAATTTGGTCATTTAATACATAGACTTGGAATGAGTAGTACATTTGTAGTTAATGCCGGAAGAATGTCCATTGCAGTTTCAGGTGAACTAAACCATGAGCCTCCACTACCCCAACCCTCTCCCCCACAGTCAGCAGGTGGCCATGCAGGCTAGCAAACAGATCCACATAATCTACAAGTCTCATCATTCTTCACGTATTGATTTCAGCAGATGAAACTACAGATCTTTGTCCCCAGCAAACATAGATCCATGTGTCGCCATCTTATTCCCAAATGGAGCAAAGCACAATTTCTAGCTGTCTCGTAGTTGAGTAGAGTTGCAATGTCTGTTCTCGATGTCCGTACAAATTTGCACAGTTGTAAAACATTAACAAAAGTTGTTTTGACAGTACATGTCTCCGTGTTGAAATCAACGCAGGCGAAAGTGGGTCCCACCGAACACGGGTGAGGTAAAGCGTACCGTTCACACTCACATGTACACCAGTGAGTTCCCAGGTCGGCTGTAGATTCTGGATTTTCTACCTGGGTAGAGCCTCTCAACCCAGGGTTGGATTTTACCCAAGCAGGCCCATGTAGAAGCTGTGTTGGATTCTAGTGTGAAAGGGATTCCCGAAATCTCCATGTTGGACCTGGGTGCAACACAGATACTTTGGACAGTGTGAAAAAGACAAATAGGGCAATTGCACGGTTACTCATGTTACATTTTTGATGTACTTTTTTTCCTTGGGCTGTAATTACCTTACTGAAAAGGTTTAATAAAGTTAACCCCATGGTAGATAGAGTAGACCTAGACGTCATCTTTGGTGCTTAGGTAGGTCTAGGTCTACTCTATAGATCTACATTGTACCATGGGGATAACAGTTATTAAACCTTTTCAGTAAGGTAATTACAGCCCAAGGAAACTCAAAAGTACATCAAAAATGTAACGTGAGTAACCGTGGAATTGCCCACTACATGTATGTGTGTAGACACCCATTCTTTCACATGTACCAGTAGTCGTGTTTTACTACACTCTCGAGGACAATGCTTTGTCTTTCCCTTTGTCCCTGTAAAATAACACTCTCCCATAGACTAAGCACACAAACTTACTGCAGAGGACCGTTTCCAACAAAAGACCCAACTCCCGAGGACTGAAAGAAATGTTATTCTCCCTTTGTGTGTCGGTCCTCAGGGGTTATGTAGAACACGTACACGTACATGTATACATGCATGTACAATCCAATCATTATACCAACCTGCACACAAACGTATTCAGAGTTTTACGCCATGAAATTCATCACAAGCAGACTTCAGGATGATTCGAATATAAAGATTCAAGGGAAAAATCACCCATTAAAGTTAAAAGACCTGACGCACAGGTGAGGAGCCTGTCGCTCCTGCGACCCAACTGTGAAGCACGGAGATTCTCGAATGAATAAGTACAATTACTGTGAGCAACAATGTGTCACGAGTTTGAGATCAAAGTGATGGGCAGTGATGCAATATCCTTCTGAAGACGAAGTCTGACTAGTTTGGATTTGGAAACGGAATCAAACACCTGCCGCACAAAACTGCTGAATGAGTCACTTGCACATTGCAACAAACATGTAGATGTACATGGTCAAATACTAACTCATATTTTGGATATTTTTTTTTTCAAACTTACAATCGATACTTTATGTAAGTGTCAAGGATGTATGCATACATGCATACCGTTCAAGAATGAATCGTTTTAAAAAAAGTTGTTGACACAATATTTGTGTTACATGTTCATGTACTTTGGTTTCACTAACATGACTAAGTGTCAATGCCTTGGTCTAGCCAAGCGAAGAGTCCAAGTACATTATCTGTCAAAATAACCCTAACTCCCTAGGCCTTTTTGCTAGGATGCAACCTCAATCCTGCAAAATCCTCCAACTGCCTCCATGTAAAAATTGCATACAGCCTCAATCCTGAAAAATCCTCCATTATTTCTTGAATGTGGTCCTTGGAGGGGTGACCACTGCCTCAATCCTGCAAAATCCTCCAGCAATCACTGTCAATATGTTGAGGCAGAGCCAGTGACATCCTAGAGAAGTGGGGAGGATTAAAAGTATAATCTAGGCCTAAATTTGTGCATCGCTGAGCATAAACATGATAAACAACACAAGGTCCGGCAGTGCGTCTATGCACCTTTTTGCCATAGCTTTAATCCTGCAAAATTTTGCAAAGATGATTTTGGAGGATTTGGGAAGGTTAGGGTTACAGAATTTCAGGTAATATTGTGACTTTGAGTCTGTGTACAAAAATATGGATGTAATGCCTACGATTGCTTCTCTATACCCTGGTGTTAACATGATTTATGATATACCATGAGAGCTGGCCCGATTTTAATTAGCTATCTGAATCCAAAATGGCACCAACGTGCTGTTAGCTCCTCAGGGAGCTTGTTATCATGATTGAATTACATGCACGCATTAACCCAATCAATGCGGCTCAAATACTGGCTTTCTCAGTATTGTGAGCAACACAGCGATTGAAAAGTTGTGCTCCCTGAATTTGAAATCTAGACTGTTGTTCCACTTGATGTTCACTATAGAAGTACACGTACCGAACTGGTTATAAAGCAGGAAAAAATATAATTCCCTGCCTTCAGACGTCAACTTTTCCTGTACAATCCTGCAGTCATTTTGGACAAACTTTCTCCAAATTCCAAGGTTGGAATGCAATTTTTTGACATACATGTAATTCTATGTTTGAACAATTTCCCTGAAAATGATTAACATTAACCCACCTTCTGTTTGAACAGTCAGAGACAGTCAAAAATTCCATCCACTTCCCCAGACATGCCTTTTACATCCAGACTAGTCACCAACAGTCTGATCATATATTTTCAATCAAGCACTCTGACTAGTCAAATTCAGTCAACAGACAAAAGCAGGCAAGTGGTAGGCACTGAGCTGGCTTGTCAATCACCCTAAAAGATAGTCAAAGCATATCTACATGTATGTATTAATCAAGTTACATTAACAGCCAGAACCAGTCAATCCTGCTTTATGTACATTGTAGGCTGTGAATTCTTAACTGTTGAAAACAGTCACTTGCTTGATTTTGACTGAAAGGACTACATTTTGTTCTTGGCACAGAATGTATCTTTGCATGGGAGGGTTAGGCCAAAAAAAATAATAGTCTGCTTCCGGTTTCCCTACCTACCCTGTTCTGACAGCCCCTACCCTAATATTTTTTATGGCAAAAATGAGAAAAAAAACACCCAAACCATCAATTTCTACCTTTTACCCTTGACTACACGCAGACACCTCCATGTGATCGTACACACACAAAATTGGCCAACAAAAAATATTTCCCTACCTACATATGTACATTGTACCTACCCTATTTTCAAATGCCATGTAATTGGAAGCAGAACATTTTTTTTGCCTTAATCACAATATTGATAGATTTTTTTAGAATTTCCCATCATGGGGTTTTGTTTAAAACAGAAACTGAATGCGCACAAAAGCACAATGCCTCGAAACCTTGCACGTGAATTGCATCTCAGCTAAAGCCCCAGCATGAATGCATTTCTTGTCATGAATAATCACATTTCTCAACCCACACACAAACTCACGATACCCCGTGGCATTTGCATCGTGCATGCCCAACCAGTTGCTTCCATGAGACAACACGGTGAATGCTTCAGTTAAGCTGAATGGGTATAGCTTTTAATGCTGGGCAGTGGGTATTCATTGGACATGTACATGTATAAAATATAGACAAGCCATTTGTGAAAGAAATATTTAATGAAAGTAAATGTCAAACTGATTAAGTTTCAGTGTGTGATGAAAACTTGAAAACCATTACCAAGGCTAACCCTAACTCCCTAGCATGATTTACTAGGAACCATACCCATCCTGGCAAATTCCAACACCATATAGAAAACTGCACATATATATTTCTGACTTACATTCTGGAGGTGTGCCAACCCAATGTAAAAGACTGTCAGTTTAGGGGTACTGTACCCATCCTGACAGATTCCAACAAAACATGCCTTTGGGGTTAGATGGGTTGAGTTCTGTTAGGCTTAAGAAGTTTTCAGTCTGCGCTAGTAAACTGAAGACCGAGTATAAATTTACGTCAAATTGAAAAAAACTTTCTCGCGAAGCATAACATTTCTCTTGATTATGAATTTTAGGACGTTCAGCGTTTTTAT